TGGCTTCTTTCCTGTGCACAGACCCCCAGATGCCCTGAGAGGCAGATGGTCAGAGACGTCCTTCCTACATCCTGCTTTTGGAAGACATTGAATCCACAGGCCAGAATACACACCCAGGAGTAGAGAAAAAGAAAGCCTGCATTTGTGCACAATCCTGCAAAATGCCTGAGTCTGAGCTTCTGTTTCAGTTCCTATCAGTAAAGAGTTCCAACAAAAATACCAACACCCACTCTGCTCCGAGGCTATTCTAGGCATATGAGCAATTAAATGCCCAAATTTTTGTGAACTCTATGAACTCTCAGGGTTTGGGGCTGTTACAGTTTGAATGCCAAATGTTTCTCAAAGGCTCAGATGCCAAATGTTACTCAGTGAAGCTTTGGGGAGATCATAGAAACTTAGGACCCAGTTAAAGAGAGTGGGTTATTTGGGGCTGTATCTTGTCCCCCACCCCTTCCTCTCTTTCTTCCTCCTGTCCACCATGGGGTGAGCTGCTTTGTTCCACCATATGCTATCCACCATGAAGTGCTGCCTCATCAAGGTGTGGAAGCAATGGAGCCAGGTGAACATGGACTGAAAACTCTGAAACCGTGAGTCAAAATAAACCTTTCCTCTTTTAAGCTGTTTTTCTCAGGTATTTTGTCACAGCAATGAAAAGTTAAAACAAGGGCATTCCATTGAATTTAGTTAAGACCAATTTGTAGTAATACTTAGAAATTCTTTTAAAACTCCAACCCAAGATAAACATGGTGGTGAATACCTGTAATCCCAGCAATTTGGGAGGCTGAGACAGGTGGATAGAAAGTTCAAGATCAGCCTCAGCCACTTCGATGTTCAGCAATTAGCAAGACCCTGTTTCAAAGTAAGTGAACTTTGAATACAGGACTGGGAATATAGCTCAGTGGTAAAGCACCCCTGTCTGTGTTCAATCCCCTGTACAAAATAAAGCAAAACAAACATACAAAAAACCTGCAATTCTTATGTGAATGGGCATTAAACAGTTTAAGCACACCTGCCTAACAGTTATCAATCAGTACACAGAACATTCCCCCACCACCCCGTGCCTCAGCCTCTGAGAGGCATTACCTCAGAATATGCCTTGATAAAAACAAAAAGGACATTTGGACACCGTATTTGCATTTGTAATACTGGCTCTGAAGGGAGAAAATGCCTTGCTCCTATAGTCACAGAAGTGGTCAGCAGATGAAAGGATACTGTCCTGAACAAGGAATCCACAAATACAGTACAAGGAAGTCAAAGAGTCACAGAGGGGTCCCTAAAGCCACATGGAGTGGGCAGGATGCCAGTGGCAAGGGATCATGGCCCCATAACACAGCTACTTGCTCACATCTGTTTTACTGAGCCAGCGAAAGAATAAATGAACCCATAAAGGGACCTTGGAGAACACTGATAGCCCATTTTTCAAGATCTCTTGGGAATACAACAGTAAGTCTCTAGGAGAAGGAGACATGAGACATAGGTTCACTCCATGCTGGCACTGAGACTTCTGCGAGGAGTCTGCTTTGGGCTCAGGCTCACGGGGCTACCAGGGACCAAGAGGCCTAGGAACATCTGGTCAAAGACATCGGTGCTCAGAAACAGGAAGAACGCGGTTGTCTTAAACGCCACAACTACCACAAGGTGAAAAAAATAAATTAAATATAAAATTAAAGTTAAATTTTAAAAAGTTAATTAACTTTTCATTTTATCCAATTCTGGCTTATTCCTTTTCTAGCACTTAATTATGTGCTATGTCACTTAAAATTTAAATATTCAATGTAAAAATAAATACTTTCCACCCAACTACCTATCCAGAAGCCCCATTATGTCTCTGAATATGCCCTAGAAACTTGGTATTTTTGAATTGGCACTGCATTGATATATATCAGTTTAGAGGATATTAGTAGAAAAGGTGAATTAAGGACTTCTGAAAATCCTCTCCTCTATGAACAATAAGAACACTGGCAAGTTATCAGAACCAACTCTCTCCAAACGTTAGAAATTAACAAAAGGCTTTCAGCAATCCAGGGAACATTTATTCAAGGGGAAAAAGGCTCAGAACAAGCAAAGAAACTAAATTACTAATCAAAAAACATAAAAAGATAGGCATGAACCCAGCATGGTGGCACACACTTGTAATACCAGCAGCTCGGGAGGCTGAGACAGAAGTTCAAAGCCAGCCTCAGCCACTTAGCTAGGCTCTAAGCAACTTTGCAAGACCCTGTTTCTAAATAAAATATTTAAAAGAACTCGGGATGTGGTTCAGTGGTTAAAAGCCCCTGGGTTCAATCAATGGTACCAAAAGAAAAAAGAAAGAAAGATAGACATGAACACTTCCCAACTCATTCTTTGAGGCCAGTATTACCCAGATACCACAGCCAGACAAAAATATCACAAGAACTACTAACCAAAATCCTTCATGAATACAGATGCAAAAATCCTCAACAAAATTGTTACAAACCAAATCTGGCAACACACAATAGGATTTGTGTACTACAGACAAGTGGAATTTATCCCAGAAGTACAAGATTGATTCAACATCTGAAACTCAGCATGGAATGTACCATATTAGTAGAATAAAGAACAAAAACATATAATCATCTCAACAGATGCAGAAAAAGTATTTGACAAAACCCAGTCTTTTTCCTGATAAAAACACTCAATGATCTAGGAAAACATGGACCTTGCCCAACTCAATAAATGTTATGTATGAAAAACCCACAGCCAACATCATATTAATGGCAAAAGAGGACTGAAAGCTTTCTCTCAAACTCAGGGACAAAGATACCCACTTTTGCCACTTTTATTCAACATGGCATTAGAAGCTCTAGCCAGAGAAACTAAGCAAGAAAAAGAAATCAAAGGCATCCAGACTGAAAAGAAAGAAGTATAACTATCTCTGCTTGTATGAAACCATCTTTTATATAGAAAATATAAGGAAACCACACACAATATATATATATATATATATATATATATATATATTTGGGCTCATAAAAAAGCTTAGTAAGATTTCACAATACAAGATCAATATACAAAAGTCAATTGCATTTCTATGTGCTACCAATAAACAATCCAAAAATAAAATTAAAAACTTAATTCCATTTACAATAGCAACAAAGATATTTAACAATGGTCAACTTATCAAAACAAGGATAAAGTACACTGAAAACTGCAAAATATTATGAAAGAGGTTAAATAAGACTTAAATACATAAAAAGGCATTCTATATACATGGAGTGGAATACCAAATATCATTAAGATGGCAACACTTCCAAATTGAGCACAAATTTAATGCAATCATTATTGAAATCCCAGATGGTATTACTGATAAAATTGATAAGTCGGTCCTAAAATACATATGAACCAGGGACCCAAAATAATTCTGAAAAAGAGCAACAATGTAGGTTTCATACGTTGCAATTTAAAAACTTACTACAAAGCTACAGGAATCATGACTTGTGCTGACCTAAAAACAGGTATGTAGATCAATAGAATGGAATTGAGAGTCCAGGAATAGTCACTTACATTTTTGGTCAATTGATTTTTGCAAGTGTGCCAAGATCCTTGAAAGAATAATCTTTTCAATAAATGGTGCTTGGACAACTAGGTCAAGTAGGAACCTATTTCACACAAAAATGAACTCAAAACGGATCAAAGGCCTAAATGTAAGAGCTAAATCCATAAATCTTAGAAGAGAGATAGGCATAAGTCATTTTGACTCTGGATTAGGCAACTAGTTTCTTAGATGTGACACAAATCACAAGAACAAAAGAAAAAATAGATAAATTGGGCCTCATCAAAATTAAAAATTTTTATATTTCAAAAGATGATCCATCTGGGCATGGCAGCATGTGCCTGAAATCTCAGCTACTGGGGAGACTATGGCAGGAGGTTCTTCAGTTCAAGGCCAGTCTGGATAACATAGCAAGACCCTTTGTCATTTAAAAAAAAAAAATCACTCTTCAAACCTGGCTCCACCTTCTCTTTCTCACTTGATTTCTCACTCCTGACACTCTCCAAGCTTCAGTCATCCCACATTTCTGCCGCATTCCTTTTGTCCCCATGCCTTTGCATATGCTGGGGCTCTCTTTGCCTCAGTAATTCCTAGGCAGCTATCAAGCCTCATGTCATGCCTTGCCCTCTGGAACCCCACCAGGGCAGCCACGGAGTGCTCCAGGGGTATGTAGTACATCCTCCCTCAAAGCCCCCTATCTTGGCTCTGATTGGTGAGTCTCTTCTTTATAAGGATCAGGATTCCTCATCTCTGAATCCCCAGGTGTTTTATTCAGCTTTTTCACTGCTGCAACTTGAAAGACCAGACCAGAACATCTACAGAGGAAGAAAAGTTTATTTGGGGGCTCACAGCTTCGGGGGTCTCAGTCCACAAGTGGCTGGCTCCGTTCCTCCAGGTTCAAGGTGAGACAGGCATCCTGGAGGAAGAGTGTGGCAGAGGGAACCAGCTCACATGATGATTAATAAGCACAGAGAGAGAGAGAGAGACTCCACTCTCCAGATACAAAATATATACCCAATAGCCACGCCCCCAATGAACCACTTCCTCCAGCCACAATCTACCTGCCTTCAGTTACCACTCAGTTAATCCTACTAAGAATTGATTCACTGATTAGGTTAACATTATAACCCAATCATTTCTCCTCCAAACCTCTTGCATTGTCTCACATGTGAGCTTTTGGGAAACACCACAACTAAACCATAATACCAGGCATAGATCCGGGAAATTACTGGCAACTCAGTAAAAGTAGCATTTAATTTTTTTAACATAAGAAATCTCCAAAATGGACATATTAGCTCCTGAAGCATGACACTCACTGTTCTGCTCTGGGTCATACCTAGCAAGATCATGCACATGGTCAGCCTTGGGAAAGATTTGTGAAATGTGAATGAACTAAAATGATGGCTGAGCCAATGAACAGTGGAGGAGTGGAACGTGGGTGGGCTAGGCAGGAGTCTCCTGGCCCCAGGAACCAAGCTCAACTCACATTGTTCTTCCCACTCTTGCTCCTCTTTCTCGCTGGCTTGGCAACGAAGCTGGGCTTGCTTCAGCGACCAGTAAAGCTCCTTCGCCCTCTGTTCCTCCTGAAGGCGAATCTGCTCTTCTCCTCGCTTCCTCTCTTCTTCCTCTTTCCTCTAAAACATCATGGAGACAGATAACATTAGAATAAAGAAGTATCTCTTTGAATCTGCAGAAGGTCAGGGCTGAACTATCTCAGGATGGGATAGGCCAGTAGTGACCACTCCAGTCTCATCCCCTACACACTTGAAAAGGTGAAGTTTACACTTGTTAAGAATCAAATGGGTTAAATTATGTGGACCAAAAAAAAAAAAAAAATAGTAAAATTCTGAAGTTTTCTACAAAGATGAGAGGACTCTGGTCCAAAAGCTTTTCTGCGAAGATCAGAGGTCTTGGACCATCCTTGGATTACTTTCATTTGGGGCAGAAAGAAGGAAGGTACAGGAGGGCCACCTGGTCTTCCTGGAGGGCCATTAAGCAAGATATTAACATGCTTTCAGCTTAAATCTGGAAAAGGTATTTTCAAGAGTGAATAGGTTTAGGAGTCCTGAATCTCCCACTTCTATCTCACCTTCAAGTTCCAGAAAGGTTTGTATGTGTCTCTGTGTGTGTATGTGTGTGTGTGCGCGCGCACACGCACGCACATGTGTGCATGTGCATACATCCAAGTGAATGTTTCTTTTGTTTGTATGAAAATAGCATGTATATGTTAAACATGCATCATGATCTTAGAAAGGCTTATAATGCAAAATAGCAGACTGGGGTGTGCAGCTCAATAGTAGAGCACTTGCCTAGGCATGTGTTCAACACTGCAAAAAAAAAAAAAGTTGCAATTGTATTTGTTTTGCTGTATTTGTATTTGTGGCGCATGCCTGTAATCTCAGCTTCTCAGGAGGCTGAAGCAGGAGAACCACAAGTTCAAAGCCAGTCTCAGCAACTTAGTAAGACCCTATTTCAAAAAAATGGGGATGTAGCTCAGTGGTAGACACTTGGATAGCATGAGGCCCTGGGTTCACTCCCTAGCATCACAAAAACAAAAATAGAAAACTGAATTCTCATTGCAATTTGTAATTAAATCAATAACAATGTCAACATAGTTTATTGCAAAGCCAAAGAGGGTGCTATTTTCACCAATTCTAAAAAGCACTTTTTAAAAAAAAAAAAAAAACTTTTTAGCATCACTAAAATTTGCATGTCTTACAACTTGTCTTTTTAATAGGCAACAGTTTTTTCTTCTTAAAATAATGGCATGTTTTTATAATTAATATCATCTTAAATTCAGTAAAAATATGGAAATATGATGGCTTTTTCTCTTTTGTTTTTTCCTGAGTTGTTAATTGTTTTCTCTTGAAATTCTAAATATTTCTCTATATTTAACCAGGTGTTCTTTCTTATAATAGATAATACAGCCCTGAGTGCCATTTTTCCTTCTTGTCCAATCCCAATCCCTAAGGTGCTTAGGTCTCCTCTCCATCTATCTTCCCAGGACCACCCTCTCGGCCTTCCCTGAAATGGAGCCTGTTTCTTTGTTGGCCATTCCCTAGCTTTGGGATAACATGTCTCATACTGCTTCTCAGGTAAGCATGCACAGAAACATTTTCTGAGTCCTTACTGGTCTGAAAATATCGCCACATGAACCTCACCTGTAACTGCTAACTTGGCTGAGCATAAGAATTTGATTAAAAATTCTTTTCCTGCAGAATTTTAAAGACTTTACTTCCCTGTCTCCCAGCATTTGGTGCTGCCACTTTGATTGTCATTTTTCCACATAGGGGTATCAATTTTTCTTTCTGGAAGCCTTCAGGGTCTCTTTATCGCTGACGTTCTGGGTGTTTTTAAATGTTGTGTCTTGGTGTGGATGTCCTCCCATCCATGATGTGGAGCACTTGGAATGCTTTCAGTGTGGAGTCTCTTGTCTGTCCAGCGCAATACATCTTTGCTTAGGATTTCTTCATCATTTCTTCTCCTCTCATTCCTCTTTCGCTTTTTATAGGACTCCTATTTGTCACTGCTGGTCTCCTTGAGTTGGTTGATCTTCTAAGTGCTTTATCATTTCTTGTTTTCCACATCTTGTTCTTTTTGCTCTTCTCCCTGGTTGATGTCACTGACTTTATCTTCCAAACCTTCTACTGAGTTTATTTCAGCTATGGCATTTGCAATTTCCAAGCCTTCTGTTCTATCCTTTTTTTGCCCCTTTCTCCTCTTTGCATCTGTATTTGTTTCAGAAATACAGTAGCTCATCTTTCTGAGGCTTTTTTTTTTTTTTGCCCCCTCTGTGACTTAGGTTTATTTCCTCTGTATTTTTGTTTTTTATTTGTTTGACTTGGTGCCTGCCACTATTTCCCTGGGAGACTTTCCTCCTATGTCTGATGCTCACTGGTCGTCCATTCATATTCAAGAGAAAGGTAAAACCTGAATGGGAGGTTCACTGTGTAGCCAGGCTTCCCTGAGAGGTGGACCTCACTCTAGAGCAACAGGATAAGGAACTAGCCGCCATCCGCAAATGTAAGAATCTAGAGTCTTGTCTATGAGAATATTCAGGGTCTTCTCCTCTCTTTCCTGGGTGATGTCTGATGACCAATATTCGGTAGTCAGTGGGGAGCAGCCTACAGATAGGACTAACCTTTCATCCAAGCCAGGAGGGCTCTAACCTGGGCCCCATTCTTCATGGAAGCCTATGCTTTGAAGTGCCTTTTTTGTAAATGTCCTCACCAAGCCCTCCCTGCAAGGTATATCCAGAAATAGTCCCCCTAGAATTGAGAAAATCAACAGAGTTTTTCAGGAAAGCTGCTCTGTGCCCAGATGAGATCCTGTCTGAATCCTGGTTCCTGTTTCTTCCCTTTATGGAGCACTCTAACCCTCTCCTCCACTACCCGGCAGCAGGTTGACCAGATGCCCCAGGGAACTCCGGAATTCATACTCATGAAGTCAGCCTGGATCCTTCTTTGAAAAGGTGACCTAACGAGTGATAAATTGTGCCAATAAATATAGAATTTTTAACCCAAGTTCACATAAGATTCAATTGCCAAAATAGAACTAACAGGCTGATTTTATGTGGCCCTAATTATTAACATGAAGAAAGACCTTGCAAAAAATTATTTGCCAGCCCTGCATACCCTAGAGGCAACCTTGGCTCCTTCCTCTGAGTTCAGATTTTTATTGAATTTCCATCTTTCCTACTTGGCCCTCTCCTGTTCTGCCCATGTGCCCCGTTAGTCCAAGCCCCAAACCTCCCCTTTCAACTCCCCATCTCCTTCTAGGCCTAGTCCTGGAGGAATATAGTATCTTGGAAGAAACAGGTGAAAACTGGGACATTTGGGTCCAGCCGCTCCATACAGAAACTTGTAGCCCTTTCCACATTCTCAGCTCTGTCCTTTGCAGTAGCTGGTGCCTCCAAGTCCTGGACCTCTGAGGGCTATGGACTGACCTGCTCACTTCCTTCACTTCTTTCTGCACCCGGAGAGGCCCTCACCACCTTTTTCCTGTCCTCCAACTGCTGACCTTCCTGGACATTTTCTCATCCATTCTTTCTTCTCTCATTTTCCCAATCCTTGTGGTTTACAATTTTTCTCAGGCCCTTGGAGTATTTTAATGAATCAAATAAGAATTTAAAGGGAAATAACTGAACTTTTAATCCCTCATCTTAAAAACAAAGCTGTGTTGCTTCTGAAATGATTTAGATGGAGAACTTTCCTCCAATTCAGTGATCAATTTTTATTTATTTTTTAAATAGACACAGTTCCCACTTACTAATTATCCATTCTCAAAGAGTTAGAGATCAAGGACAAGAGAAGTTAAGTGGCTTCATTTAATCACTCATCAAATACTTATGAAGCACCTAAGAGGCTCAAAAGCCTACTCAAGGTGCTGCGATACAGCAATAAGCAAGACAGTCCCCACTGGCTCAAAGCTTGATTTCTAGAGGTGAGCAAAACACTAAACAAATAAGTGAAAAGTCAAGAAATTTCACAAAATAACAACCAATGTACAGAGAATCACAACTGGGTAAATGAAGAGTCAAGAAGGCAACTTTAAATGGTGTGACCAGAAGATTTCTCAGGAATGACATCTGGTCTGAGACCTTAATAACAAGCAAGTGGGTATTGGGGAGAAGAAATTTCCAGGCTGAAGGAACTGCAAGTGCAAAGGGCCAGTGTTGCAAGCCAAGCTGGCCTGTTTAAAACAGAGTTACCCACTGTGCTGGAACTGAAAAAGTCTAAATGCTATGTTGGAAGAGTGTGAGTACCCTCAGACACCCAGAGGCTCCTGAGGACAGTGGAATGCTGAGCCTGGGGATTAGGAGAAGATCAGTCTGAAGAGACGGATGAAGAAGTTACCTGGTATGAATGATGTTCCTCAGCCATGGAACCTAATGGTGACTCCGGCAGAAAGAGAGCAGATTAAGAGAAGACAATCAGAGTGTCTTGGGTCACTCCATCAATTAAAGGTTGAGAGAGAGTCAAAGCCAGAAAAGAGAACTGAAAAGGAAGACCAAGGGGAAGAGGAAAACCCAGAAGGGACAGAGAGCATTTCAAGGGACAGGGAATGGCAAACAGAGCTGAAGGCTGCTCAGGCTTTGCAGAGATAAGGAAATCACAGGAGACTGCTGGGCATGGCCACTGGAGGCAATGGAGAGCTTCACAAGAACAGTCCTAGTCCAGCAGAGGGGCAGCCATCCAGATGACACCAGGAAGGAGTGGAGAGGACCACAGACAACCCATTCAGGATGTCCATTTCCTATGAAAAAGAGCCCAGAACAAAAGTGACAGCTGGAGGTTAACGTGGGGCTATGATAGACATGGGATGGGTTGATTTTGATGTGGGAAACACTGGAGCAGAGTTATTGACTGATACAGAATTGGAACCCAAGTCTCTAAGACCCTAAAGTGAAATCAGCTGAGTTTTACCTCAAAGTCTGACTTCATCTGTATCAGCCTCTCAGCAGCCTCCCGCACACTGGCTCAGCAGCCCCTCACGGTTTCACAGTGGGTTCTGCTCCCTCCCTCAGGGCTCCCTGGTATCTGAGGACAGTTGCGGCATCACTCAGTCCACAGGGCACAGCCATGGTAACCTCCACACAGTACTTCAGATCTTCCAGGCAGGACCGGGTCTCAGG